TGCTTCCGATCCCATTTCTTGAGAGTCGATAGTTCACATCTGTTCTTGTCTTATATGATTTTGAATGCATGAATTATCGCCATACTGTCTATGTCATGCAGCGAAGGAACACTCAAGTTAACATTGTAAAATTCACAAGCTCACGCCTCATGCCTCCTGAGAATAGACTCGTTTAGGAGAAACACGGTTGCGACTCGCTGTAGGATGTGGCGGGGAGCTACAGCATGTAACTCCTAAAATCTCGAATGAAAAGTAGAGACTGAGTCTGTAGGGGCCCTACAGTAGGGCTCTTCTCTTTGCATGAACCGGGTTACGACCGTAACTTTGGCCTGAATACTAACAAAGAAATGGAAGACTTTTTCGACTTTTTCAGAAGAAGCTTGCGCCGTTTAGTCAAGAATCTTGCTCGATTCACACTGACTGGCCGATTGGCTCTTGAGCCATGAGCCATGATGTAATTGATCAGCACCGAACAGGCGTTTCTTTGTAGCGTTGTGGCTCAGGCACGTTCCTTCCCAATGGCAACTCAGGTTCAATACAAAATTCGAAGTTCTTGATTGAAAATGGTGATGATAATATTCTTGTTATATGAATCAAAGAGTTTGACCGAGAATGGACAAGTCAAAAGTTTGCCATGAACAATGGGGAATGCGAAAACATAGCCCGATGGACTGTATGTCAAGAGAACAGCAGTCTCAACACAGAGACCCCCTTGGGAACCAGGGTCAAAACGCTGTATCTTGAATAATCACGCTCGTATACGGCGAAGTAGCACGAGCAAGGCTGGTAAGATTAGGATTGGCATGCCTTGAGGACAATATCCGGAGGGGTAGGATATGATGAGTCGGAGCCATATATCCATGAACCATGGTGTATAGTTAAAGTATCACGGAATAGATCCAAGGTCATGGCCTTTCCTGTCATCCACCAATCCTCTTGACCAACTTGTGTGCGATTGTCCATAAGAGAGAGTAAGACATCCAACTCCTTCTCCTCTCTTTTCAATACCGAGATATTGAAGGGATAGTTCACTGTGTCCGCTACCGATTGGAATTCCTTCACGGGGATGCCATCATTGTAGACAACCATTTGTGTAGCGTTAGAGCGAAGGGCCACACTTAAGCCCTCGCCGGGAACAGATCGACAAAAGAGATGATTCACAGGCTGAAGACAAGCGCCATAGGTTAAGTGTATCAGTTCAATGGACGCAGTGTTCATGTGAATCTCCGATTTGCCACTATCACGGGGTAAGTACAACATATTGATCAAGTGTTCGACGTCCAAACCAATGGAAGTAGCGAAGGCTTCCACTTGATAG